GACTGGGCTTTTGCTTTAAACGCCATGAGTAGAGCCCAGGGATCAAACCAGCCCTCATTGGCCACACCATATGCAGCCAAAGCTATGTCTGTGGTGTTAACCCACGGAAACATAGCTTTCACTTTGTTTGGGGACAAGAGCTCGATCTGAGCGCCCAATTGGGTCTGAAGTTTATGGTTTACAATGAGTTGTTCGGCGGAGGAATCGGTCGCCAAAAGTAAATATCCGTTAAGATTGAGACAAACATCTGGAGAACTTTGGTTAGGAATTGTTAAATATTGACCAATATTTTGAAGAAACTTTGAACTGTGGAGTGATAACAGAATATTCTCTTCATTGGAAAACTGCTGTCGAATACCACCGGCTGATCGAGTGGTCGAACACGAGCTATACTTTCAATTCATTACACAATATTTNATATTTTGAAGAAACTTTGAACTGTGGAGTGATAACAGAATATTCTCTTCATTGGAAAACTGCTGTCGAATACCACCGGCTGATCGAGTGGTCGAACACGAGCTATACTTTCAATTCATTACACAATATTTTATAACATTATACTGTCATAAATTGCCAAATGTTTTATAACTTTCATTATAATTACTTACCGACAAATCCCTCTCAAATACATTACAAGTGAATTGATTCGGTTGTCGCCGATTGAGCCAATAGGCGACCGAAGAGCCCATTATTCCTCCGCCAAATACAGCAAAGTCCACATAATTGTCAGTCGATTCTGGTTTCAATTGATCCGAAGATTTCCTAAAACTATGAATTCCACACATTTGGGAATATTTTGATATTAAATTGCATTTTAATAGTAAATTATATTTGATTTTAAATAAATTTCTCATTATTTCGTTAATTATTGGCACAAATTATAAAAATGATGTCCTTCATTTAGCATTGATAAACTAAATGTTAAGTAGTACTTAACAAGTACCATTCACATTTACATTTCTATGGATATTATCAACAAAAAATTATAACAATTTTAAATAATTTGTAATAACAAAATGAATAACCAAACTGAATTGATAAACTATGGATTCTTTATAATAAAATATGTTTATAAGATATTCAGAAATATTAGTAAATATAGAAACTATTTCAAATGAAAGGGAGATTTCTAGACTGTTTAATATTTAGAAACTTTATTAAACTTATAACTTATAAACGATTATTTATTTAAAACTCTGACTACAATAACTTACTTGAGTTTATGATGAAAATAATTCTCTATTATTCTTAAAATTTAAATATAATTTTGTTTTATTTTATAAATTAATCGCTCAATGTTAAAATTGTAGCCATCATTATCAAGATACTATCAATTATCAAGATAATTCAAATGAATAATTAAAATTAAATAAATGTGTCCAATAGTTATAATAATAATAATGACTTTTATTAAAATGAAATGACAAATGAAAACATGAAAAAAATAATTAGAATTAACAGACAATCAAAAAACAAAGTGT